TGGGACATGCATGGAATGTTCATAATGTAACTCATGTATGTCCCAGGAATGTGCATGTACATCACATGAATGTTCCAGGTATATTCTGGGAATATCATTTTGCTATGTGGGCTGTTTCGTCTTAACTTACAGTATTTCCTTTTGGTCCTTCCGGGCCTCTTTCGCCTTTAGGGCCTGTTTCTCCTATTACCCCTTCGTCTCCTTTTAGTCCGTTGAAACCTACTTCTCCGCGATGGCCCTTCGGGCCTCGTCGCCCTCGGTCGCCCTTGTGCCCTCTTGGTCCAGGCTGACCGATCTGACCCGAAGATCCAGCTAGACCAGGAGCCCCAGGTGCACCATTTTCACCCTAAAAGTAAATTTGCGAAATATTTCTTTATATTTTGAGAAGCTCTCACCGTCAATCCTGGAGTGCCTCGAAGTCCGGGAGGGCCTTGTGACCCTGGCTGTCCTTGGGGTCCCGGATTTCCTGGACGCCCAGGGATGCCGATAGTCCCGAGATCTCCTTTTTCGCCCGGCAGTCCAGTATTTCCTTGTAGACCGGCGGCTCCTTCTTGTCCCTATCGAGGAGACAGTTTCAATTTATGACCATTTCTTTAGTAGAATTTAGAAATATTTACTGGTCTTCCAGGCGGTCCGGTTGGCCCCATCGGACCTCCGGGTCCTAATTCCCCGCTGGGGCCAACAGGGCCCGTTTTTCCGTCTTGTCCATCTAATCCGGGTTCTCCTTTCAACCCGGGGGTACCTGTTTGCCCTTGGGGTCCAGGTAATCCTGGAAAGCCAGGAGCTCCCTGCATGCCTTCTGAACCGGGCAGGCCCCGCGGTCCAGGTACGCCTTGAAGGCCGATTTTTCCAGAGTCTCCCTTTGGCCCCAAAGGACCCACGCTACCTGGTAGCCCATCTTTTCCTCGCTGCCCGGTAAGGCCTGCCGGCCCGTTTTCGCCTTTCACCCCTGTTGAAAAATTTAGCAAAATTTGGCCTGTAAACGAACATTAATTACACCCACCTTGAGGGCCTTCCGGTCCTACAGGTCCTGGCAACCCTTCTACCCCTTTAGGTCCCCTAACACCCTGCTCTCCCGGTGGCCCTGAAGCACCCGAAGGTCCTTTTTGACCCATATCGCCTGAAAACACGTTTGTGCGTAAGTAGGCATTTTCTGTAAGCAAACTTGTAAAATTTACCTATTTCTCCTTTTACACCGGGTGGCCCCGGCAGTCCCTGCGGGCCAGTGGCTCCTTCAAATAAATTGTGCATAATTAATGTACATATTCAAAAGTATGAAGGCTTTCACGGCCAGTTAAATCACATTTAGGGATGTTTTCCGGGCTTTGAAGCCGTGGTCTATGGGAATTTCTTCCTGACGTTTCGTCCACAACTGCGGTGGACATTATCAAAGGCGATGGGGCAGTGGGCGAAGTTTCAATCCAGATTGGAAGCGCGTTTTATGCCAAACAGCGTGTGCGCCGAAGCATTTGAACCCCCACCCATCCCCCACGCATGAGCACACACGGCTGGGCTGCATAAATACGACGGGGAATCCAGCAGTTGAACCATAGAGTAAGTCAAATATTATTTTATTTTACTTTCTCTATGAGTTAAACCAGTCGTAGTCGGGAAGCACGGGAGATCACTTCGCCCACTGCCTCATCGCGTTTGATAATGTCCACCGCAGTTGTGGACGAAACGTCAGGAAGAAATTCCCATAGACCACGGCTTCAAAGCCCGGAAAACATTCCTAAATGTCATATTCAAAAGGTAACTATTATTTGCCTTACCTGCAGGTCCAGACAAACCCATAGAACCTTGTTCTCCTTTTATGCCTCGGCGGCCGATTTCCCCCGGCAAACCCCGCTCGCCAACTGGACCCTGCTGCCCAGGCTCTCCTCGAATTCCGGGAGGACCCGCACTTCCTAGAGGACCCGATTCTCCTTTCGATCCTTTGAATCCCTTTTCGCCGGGAGGCCCCATGTCTCCCTTTTGAGAAGTACACATTTTAGAACGAAGATACTATTCAATTCCTGATGAATGATGAATTCCTTACTTTATCTCCGTCTTCGCCAGGAAGGCCTACTGGCCCTGGTGCCCCCGGTAAGCCTCTAGTCCCCGCAACACCATCTCTGCCTATGGGTCCAGGAAGCCCCTGATCGCCTCTTTCTCCCTTTGCACCTCCCGGCCCACGAGTACCTGCAACATAAAAAAGTTACCTTAGGCCTTGAAAGTTAATTAACCGTTGACTATTACCCGGAGGACCTTTTCGACCTTCAACACCTTGCGACCCGAGTAAGCCGGGTTCCCCTTGCGCCCCCTTGTCTCCCTGTGGCCCTGGTAGACCTGTGGCGCCCGTATCCCCTTTCAAGCCTGGCATTCCCTTTAATCAAGAGTTTTAAGCTAGGAAGCAGTGCTATCTGGAATAGGTGCTTACAGTAAGTCCGTTATGACCACGTTCTCCAGGAAATCCAGAAAGACCTACTGGCCCGGGCAATCCAGCCTTTCCTTCGGGACCAGTAGGGCCTGGTGGGCCCTCCTTGCCGCTGTCGCCAGGTGGTCCGGGTTCACCAGGAATCCCCGAAGGGCCAGGAGCTCCCGGTTCACCTATAGGACCAAGTTCGCCAGCGTTGCCTGGAGGTCCGATTACTCCAGGAAGTCCTATTGATCCTCGCGAACCAGTTTCTCCCTGCAACAGACAACATTTTAAACATCAGAAAAGTTTCGTATCAAATGGGTTTGAGGTACAAAACCTAATTCTACAACCATGTAATATTAATATTATTATCTATATAGTATATACTTTCCTGACTGTGTTTCAATTCCAAATCAAAATTAATTCCGGGGTTTCAGTCATTTATCGGCTCTATTTACCAATTAAAATACGTTTCGGTGTATTTTTCCACCATTATCAGTTTTTCTAAAATAATAGATAGTTAAAAATAATTAATTAATTTAAAAAACAACCACAGCTCGTCAACAGCCTCATCCTATCACACATTAAAATACATCACAATTGCAATACTTTAAAACATTCTAAAATTAATTAGGCCTAACAGGTGATTAGTCAGGACAATCAAATCTGGGAAGATTGATTGATGAAGAACTAGAATTCTTCGTTCAGATACTTAAATATGTTTACTTACATGTGTAGCTGCTTTAAGCCTTGGCATACATTTGGAGTATTAATTTTGTCCATTTTGGACACAAAGCGAATAAAATACTGATTATATTGATTTCTTTTACTTTCAGCTATTTTTCTTTGTATTCTGAGGATATTATTTTTGGTTTGCAAAATGCTTCAATATACCGGGTGTTAGTTAATATTCTATGTTTATTTCATTTAATTAATGTATGATATACTGAGCTAAGATTGTCGGTATCCGATCAGAAATTCATAGCATTGTTATGTTTTTTAATCTGTATCATTTCATCGACTCTTCTCTTATTTTAATTACTCTCGTTAATCAGTATTTTTGTGTTATCAAAATCAACATTATGCAACTTCTGTTGTGCATGCTGTGCTAATGCTGTACCATTTTCGTTATTTTTTCTTAGGCTATACCTATGTATGTGTTATCACAATTCAAACAGTCTATTTTGTAACTTACATTAGGCGTGTCTAACTTGTCAATCCTAGGTTCAAATTTTGTGAAACATTCATTTGCTAAGGTGTTTTTAGTTTTTTCTGCTATGTTGATATTATGTGGTTTGAATATATTTTTTATTTTTGTGTTAATTTCCGGAATATATGGTAATGATATATACTTGATATCACCCTCTCTTCTTTCATTTATGTTTTTCCATTTAGTTGAATCGTATATTTTATTTATCCTTTACTTTATGATTGGTTCGAAAAATGACCTTGGATAGTTGTTTATTAATAATATATTTTTAATTTTTTCAACATCTTTATTCTATACTCCCAATGTGACAATTTAATGGCTCTATCTGTAAGTGCCGTTATTACACTTCTTTTATATTTCATTGGAGCGTACGATTGATAATTC